TTCCATTTCAAGTGTTCTACAATTCTATGATCATTGATTTATTATCTAGCTCGTCAAACAACATTATTGTTGTGCAATTGATCTTTTGGATTTTGCTTTTAAGATGAAGCGACTAAGAAGTGGAGTGGTTGATCATTATTAAGGGAAGCTTAAGTGATCATAGGTTGTAATTGCTCAAGACATCCATTAACATAGATAAAACATATTATGAGAAACAAAAGAAACCAACACATTCTCTTATTTTTAGTCTTCAATGCAACAATGATTTATATATAGGATTGATATAGCATTAGCACCATACCTTGATGAGAAAGGCAATGATTACAATCTAGAAAACAAGTGGCTTAACACATAAAAATATAATATAGCCTATAAAAAAGACCTCACACCTATGCCCTACAATCAATTGCAACCATAATGCATAGAATCACAACTTTCATTCTCATCCAACACCGCATCAAAGGTTAAACTCACTCCATTCTTCCTACAAGAATGCAACAAAAAGGTCTATGATATTCTTGAAAAAACTAAATTTCCATTGTATGTTTCAGTCTAAATTCAAACCAAGGACCTCTTAATCTCAAAGTGTAACAAATTTAATAGTTAATAGAAATATAAGATAAAGTAAAGGCATACATAAAGTAAACACTCATGTCACATTATAAAAACAATTATTACTACATTTTGTCAAGGGACTAAAACATGATTTGAAATGTATGAGTATAGCATGAGGTCTTGCCATGTCAATATTGGGTTTTGCTACATCAGTATGACATATTATTTCTAATGCACTTAAACATGTGATGCAAATATCATATAAAATTTAATAAAGTTTTTTTATCTTTTATACTACACTCTTCCTTCCTATATAGCTGAAAGTGACAACTTTCCCACAATCTTGGATACGACAAAGAGTAGGAGCATGTATTGACCAAAGTTTGGGTGAAACCTTTTTATGCATAGGCAATCGTGACTTTTGTTTTTTTGTATATGCTATCTAGACATGACATAGGCACTTGAAGAGCAAAAACATGCATTTTAAAGCTTTATAAATTGTTTTTCAAGTTGTTCTCTTTGGTTATTTTATAATTATATAAATTCTATTTGTTAGTGATTTTACATTGTACATGAAACTCTTTATTCACCATTTGCATAGAAACTCCTCCTCCATCTCCTTACATTGCACTTTTTTGCATGAAAACACCTCTTCCATCTCTTCATGTTACACCTTCTCCTCTATCTTCTCGTGTTATAATATATAGTAGCTTTGCTTATTACATAAGAAATAAAAACCCCTAACCAACAATCTGATGTAACCTTTAAATCTCACAACACAAGAATAATGTCTGGATAACATAACATGTCTAAAACACAAAGGAATGATAGTTATATCACCTATGCACATAGAGATTTTGCCTAAACCTTGATCAACTGAACAAAAGTGCACCCTTTTTCCTAATCGGTTAAGGGTTTTGAAATACTTGGGGTTAAATGTCCTTAAGTTTGAATATGGGTGACCTCCTGGGAAATTTAAATTTAGAAATTTACAATTAAAATATAAATCCCTAAGCCCCAAAGTGGAGCCAAAAGTGGGCTACATGGCAGTGGCCAAAGAGAAAATCCAATTAGCATAACATATTTAAATTAAAAGCTTTAATTTGAAAAGTGGAACTCCTAAAAAAGTGCTAAAGGAATGAGTATGAAGTGATTAATCAACAAGTCTTTAGAAAGGGACATAAAAAAGACCAACATATTGCAAGTGTTATAACACGTGAAAGTATTAAGACCAAGTCTAAGATGGAGGTTGAGACCAATTCAAGATGGAGTTCAAGATCGAGACTAAAACCAATTCTAAATATGAGTTTGAGACTAAATCTGAATACTAATACAAGTCATGCAATGAAAACCCAAAGCAATTATCTTATAAGTGGGGATTCCAAAAGTATAATAGGGAGAGTATAAAGGTTGAACTTTAGTGGAACTAGTTTGGCCCTGGGTACGAGTGCAAGACTAAGTATGATTACTAATACAAGTCATGCAATGAAACCCAAAATAATTATCTTTTAAGTGGGGGTTCCAAAAGTATAATAAGGAGAGTATATAAGTTGAACTTTAGTGGAACAAATTTGGTCAGAAAAGGTTAGTGTGATTAAAGAAGGTTACATCTATATAGTGGTTGATGATATAACCACTAAGAAGCCTAAGGCTAGATAAACATAAATTTATGAAAGTTTATAAATTGATATGTCAAAAATACCCTTGGGTGTTTATAATGTAACTAGACACATAAAGCACTTGGACCAAGTGTAAGATGGTGTTACTTTGAAGTGACCCTTCAGAGGGTAGTAAGTCCTCAAGTCGGGATAAGGAATTATAGAGGTTGTGAGTGAGACTCCTTTATGCGGTCAAACATGTGGTTAAATGATTAAATTAGAATAAAAAATTAATCACTTATAATTTGGTATCGAAACTGTTCTTTAGTTGAACTTTTATTAGTGATTAAATATATCAATATTGGAAATTAATATTTAAATGTCCTAAGAGTGGGGGTATACTTAGCTCTATTGCATCGAAGCTGAGCTATATTCCATACGTGGCACTAGATGGAAAAATATGTATATGTGGCAAGATGAAAATGCATGCTTATGCATGATCATAAATGAAAATAAATTGCTATGTGTTGTATGTAGCAACACTTGGTTTGCTTAATAATAGTATTATAATTACTTATTAATCCAATTGATCAAATAAAGTTTATAATTATAAGTATGTTTGTAATTCATAAACACAAGATTAATCTTATTGCATATCAACCATCAAATGATAGAATAAAAAGATAAGGTTTAAGAAATTTTATAAATTATAAATAAAATATTAATTTAAATGAATAACAATCATTAGATGATAGAATATCCTAGAATATCTAAATATATTCTAGGTATATCCACTCAAGTTTGCTTAAGCAAACCAAAAAAATATTTAGAAGACTTGAGTTTGTAAAGGTTTAAGAAAGTTTATAAATTATAAATACAATATTAATCTAAATGAATAACAACCGTTAGATATAAAATATCCTAGAATATTCAAATATATTCTAAATATATCCACTACCATACATGTTTGCTTAAGCAAACCAAAAACATATTTACAAGACTTGACTATTTCACAAGTTTTACCCACCTTTTATCGAAGTCTTTTTCATACTTTACCTAAAAAGAAGCCAATCCTAATCCTGCCATATGTGGTGTTATATAACCTTCCTCTTTGGGCAAGTGTTAATAACGAATTGGTTGCCATATATACCATATGTGGTGGGGCAAGTGTTAATAAAAAAATGATTTGCCATATATAAAGAGACAAAAGAATGGTGCTGTTCAAATATACCAAACTTTCTTGTTGCTCTAGACGAAAATGGCTTATATCATTTTCACATATGGCCATTTGAAAACAATGTAAACACTTCCATCAGTTTTCAATTGGTTGTTGAAACATCAACAGCCACTCATATTGTTTCATATTTTCCACGTTTGCTCAAGTAACAAGTCTCGTGTAAAACAGCGTTCTAATACAGTACAAGCCTCACACTTTATAAGAAGAGCTCATCGAAAGAATATATGCACAAACATTTGATGGATTTGCTAACCTTACCTTCTTGTGCTCCCCATGCCCATGGCATTGCGATCGATAATCATAAAAAACTGGGAAAAGTGGGCCTGAAACTTTCACAACTTCAGATGAAAAACAAGGTAGGAGTGCTTAAAAATGTTGGCTGAAAAGCCCCATTGTTCTGTTTCCTTGCAGCGGGCTTTGATCCCATACCTCACCGCTGGCTGCCCAAGTCTCGATACTACTGCCGACGCACTCCGGCTGCTAGCTGCCGGAGGTGCCGATGTGATCGAGCTTGGAATCCCTTGCTCAAATCCTTTCGCGGACGGTCCAATAATACGCGTAAGATTTCTACAATCATCGTTCTTCTCAAATTTTGTTTTCTTATGTGTTTTTTTCTCTTTGTCAATGGTTCATCCAGAATTCGGTTACGAAGTCGACAGAAAACGGCACGAATCTAGAATCTGTTCTGTCCATGGTCTGCGAGGTTGCCCCGACGCTGTCTTCGCCACTGGTTTTATTGACGTACTTTGAGACCATAAGCGAGTGTGGTGCTCAACGTTTCTTTCGAGACATCAAGGCAGCTGATGTTTCTGGTATGAAATCTCTCGTTCATCGCAACGAAATTTACATCTTGGAGATTCTTCAGGCCTTATCGTTCCGGATCTTCCACCCGAAGCAACTCGGGCGTTTGCTCTGCTAGCCGCAGACTACGACATTGAGCTCGTGAGAAACATTTTTTACACTAGAATCTTTTAGAACTTTGCTTTGGAAGTTGGAACTCATGAATCACTTTGGATTTGGACAGGTACTGTTGGCTACACCCACGAGTTCCAGGAGAAGGTTGCAAGAGATAGCGGCACTCTCACGGGGCTTCATTTATCTGGTGAGAGCTTCGACTTTTCTTACTTAAATCTTGTGTGTAACATCTCATGATCCAATCCAGGTGAGCTCCACCGGACTAACTGGGCCTCGTCCCACTGTCAACGGCCAAGTCGAGGTCCTTCTGAAGGAGTTGAAAGAGGTTTGTATCCACAGTGCCGGTGTTCTTCGTGCTAATTCGAGTGTATCTGCCACAGCTTACCGACATTCCCATCGCTGTTGGGTTTGGGATCTCAAGACCCGAGCATGCAACGCAAGTAAGAACAAGAACAAGAGCAACATCTCGTAGAACTCTCTAATCTCACTTCGTGTAGATTGCCAAGTGGGGGGCCAACGGAGTTATCATCGGGAGCGCTCTAGTGAAGACACTGGGTGATAGGAGCTCACCGCGTCCTCGTCTCGAAGGCCTGGCTCGAGCTGGAGATTTGATCGCCGAGTTTCGACAAGCTCTAGACCAACAATCTCGCCTTCCAGAGAAGTATAACATGCTTTCGATTTGATTCGCGTCATTGTGAGTGGCTTTCTCTACAGGATTTCCAAACCATGACGACGATGAAGCAACAGTGTACAGGTGCATTTTTTTCTCGAGAAAACTTCTAGTGGAGACGGTCGAGCTACTCGCTGGACGATTCTTTGTCCTCGTCGGGTGAAGAAGAGCTCTCGGGCGTGGGGTCTTTCTCCTTGCAATTCTGGACCACCAAGAGCGTAAACAGAGGCTCGGCTATGACAATTATCTCGTGGAGCAGCGTCTTTATCCTCAGCATCTGGAGATCATTCTGGGGGTCGAGCTCGCGAACGCCGCTGCGAGCCATGGCTGCCAAGCTCGGGATCTTCGTCGCATACTTGAAAGCCAGATCCTAGTAGACACAAGGTGGGAGAACTCCTTGATCCGGATGTGATTGATCTCTCCTCTTACCTGAGGCAGTGTAGTTCGCAATACATTTCCATTCGCTGCTACAATCATCGTTCCAATCACATCCTACACAAGTGGAAGTCCAATAAGAAATGCCTGTGCGATCGAGCAATCTCCATACCTGCAAGCCATTGATTCGACTCAATGCCCCTTGAGCTTCACTCTATGAAAGATCCTCCCTGTGAGAATCAAAGAGGGAAAAAAGAGAGGGGAAGTCACGCACCATGATAGTAGCATGGCTCCTCCACGGAATTTTAGGGCTCCTGGTGGTTAGCCGATTCAGCTGAAAGTACGAGCCACGTCGGATTTGCCAACTAGGCAAGGGAAACAGAATGGACGGCCACGATCTCCTCCAATTCATACTTTCCATAAACCCTACTATCCGTGCACCGTGGCTTGCAGCGGCCAGTGTCGCAACGATCGTAATGATCGCGACGAGAAGCGGCGGTGGCTTGATCGGTGGTGCTCTCACATTCACAGTGATTCTCTTTTCTTCGCGACCCAAGAACAACTCTCCGCCGCCTCCTACGGAGAACGGTGACAATGGTGCTCTCGACAAACTTAGCAGCACCATCAATCATGGCAAGCGAGATTTCTTCTCTTCGATCATCTCACTCGCTTTCTGTGACCGTGTAGCTGCCGAAGGAGAAGAAGGCGTCCACGATGATCATCTCAAACCGGATCCAAATGTATACGACAAGTACCTCTCGAATCCAAAAGCCACATCTCAATTCAGGTCCCAAGTGCTGCGACCAAAGGCCTCCGTCCAAAAGTTCTACGAGTGACACCACGACCTCGCTAGAGAGGGTTCGTTCTAGCTGCTCTTGACTGCTCGCGAGTTGAGCTTTGTTTCGTCCATCACCATTTCTTCTCGGCCATCGAGAAGAGCTGCTTGAAAAACGAAAGTCAGCCAAGCTAAAGCACCGTTCTGGTTTCGTGTACCTGGCGAGCACCTTGCATTAGTCTCCGGCTATCCCGAGAGGAAGACTCGGGCACCGAGGCCGATTTCTTGTCCGCTCGACCGGCCTTTCCCCGAGCTCGTTTGCTCCCGACCATCAACCGGGTCAGCTTCTCCGACGTAGAAATCTGCCTGCTCTTCCGCTTGGAGTTTCGCTGCTGCCGCGCAGAGGCCGGCCTCTTCCTCTCGCTCGAATCCCCGTTCTCGACCGAGGCATCGTCGTCGTCGTTGTCCTCCTCGTCCTCGCTCTTGTGCTCGTCCGCCGAGGCCTCGGGCTGCCGCTGCCGCTCCTCCGCAATAGATCTCGACTTCCTCTTCCTCTTCCGTGTGCTGACGTTGGCGGCGACGCTGGCGTTGTGGCTTGGGCTCTCGCGCTCGTCACCCTCCAGCTCCTCCGAGTTTCTCAGCTTTTCCGAGAGCGAAGAACAATCGTTGTCTTGGTCGGACTGTTCGTTGTTGTTCCTGGGCTGCTGCATCACGTCGCAGGCCACACCGGCTATGAGCGCGAGGCTGTCGGACATCTCCTCCTGGTTCACTGTCGCCTCTCCAGAGTGGGAGTGCTTTACTCCTCTTCCACTCGTAGATTCTCCTCCACCTTTTCTCTTGGCACGCCTCAGCGTCTCGTGCAAAGCCGCGACTTTGGCTTCGGCATCGTCGGCTCGTCTCCTCTCAGCCACGAGGAGCTTCTCGAGATCCAAAATCTGCAAAGAAAAGAAGCAAAAGCTCCAAGAGCTTCAGCACAGCACGGGGATTTCTAGCGAGAATTACCTACATCACCTGAGAATCAGTGTGATGCTTGAGCCGGAGCAGCATCGACAAGGCTTGCTCCTTGGCGCCGACGAGCTCCTGCTCCAGAAACGCCACCTTCCTCTCGGCAGCGACTAATCTCGATGCCGCCTCCTTTCCCAAATGCGACACCACGTCGCTGGCCGCCTCCTTGAGCGACGACGCAATCCGGGTCTCCACATCTCTCACAAACTGCTGGAGAATGTCTGTGACTCTGGATTCCGCAGCCCTAATCAGAGGCTCGTCCCCCTGTGAAAGAGATGCTTGAGAGAATGAGAGGGATTGACTTCTACCTGCGCGAGCATGGATTGAGGCTCCGAGGACGCCGAGCTCGTGCTCCCTTCGCTTCGAGCTGCTGCTTCCATAGAACCCTAACACAAGGGGCAAAAATCCCTAAAATCTCCTCTTTAACCCTAATTCTTCGAATGTGGGAGCCGAGGGCGCAGGCACAGCGCCAACGCCAGCGCCATCGCCATGACGGGGCAAGCGGAGCTCAATCTCAATGGCGCCAGCGACACCAAGGGCGTGGTGCTCCTCCGCGACTCCATGCCGATCTACATGAGGGAATTCATCGCCGGGGGCATCGCGGGCGGCTTCGCCAAGACCGCCGTGGCGCCTCTGGAGCGTGTCAAGATTCTTTTCCAGGTACTTGCGAATATTTCTCTTCTTTCCACTCTTTGTTTTGGAATCGACGAGGATTTTTTTTATTTTTATCTTTTTTGTGGCAGACCCGGCTTGGCAATTTCCAGAGCATGGGAATTTTGCGATCGTTGAGACACATTCATAAGACCGAAGGCTTCTGGGGCCTCTACAGGTGCATCGCGATTCTTTTCTGTTTTGCTTCTGTTTGTTTGTCTGAGAAAAACGAAAAGAAGTCTTCTTCCTGCTAGTTTGATTGGAAGTCATAGATTATTGGTCGAAAGTGCTTTGTCTGGACATGATTTGTCCTCGCTTCCTTAATCTATGTTGCATTGAAAGCCTGTTGCGAGTTTTCATGTTTTAGCTGATTGGATGGAAGTACTATTGAGAGTGTTTTTCTCTGTGCTGTGAAGCTGACGTTGTGTATTTTGGCAGAGGCAACGGAGCAGCCGTGATAAGGATAGTTCCTTACGCGGCATTGCATTTCATGACGTACGAGAGATACCGTCAATGGTTAGTCGACAAGTGTCCCTCTGCCGGGCCTTCCGTTCACCTTTTCGCCGGATCTTTGGCAGGAGGTACCGCTGTTCTTTGTACATATCCTTTGGATCTTGCTCGTACCAGATTAGCTTACCAGGTTGCATCGTCGCTGCATCGTAGCATCATACTTAACTTCCCACTCTTGTGTCACGCAGGCGACAAATCCGCACGCTACTTATAGCGATCTTGGTAGCGTCTTCCAGTCGGTGTACAGGCAAAGCGGGATCCGTGGGTTGTATCGTGGACTATGTAAGAGCCTCCAGCAACCTCCAGAGCTTCCTTCATTCTAATCTCGATTTCCAGGCCCAACGCTGTATGGAATTCTGCCTTACGCGGGGCTCAAGTTCTACCTGTACGAAAGCCTGCAAGGTCATCTGTCTAGCGAGCACGAAAACTCTCTCTTCGCGAAACTCGCGTGTGGAGCGGTGGCGGGTCTGGTGGGACAAACTTTCACGTATCCCTTGGACGTTGTTCGGCGGCAGATGCAGGTAAAGCTTTAGCAACGTTGTCTTGCTTTGTGACGATTGATTGTCTTTTCGAAACACAGGTCCAGCCAGCACCCGCGAGTGGGACGCAGGAGAAAGCATTCAAGGGAACCTTGGACGCTCTCTCTTCGGTGGTGCGGAACCAAGGCTGGAAGCAAACGTTCTCGGGTGTGACTATAAACTACCTCAAGGTCTGGCTGGGTCCTTCTCTGTTCTTTCATTTTTTATCTTCGTCGCTGTAGATCGTACCTTCGGTGGCGATTGGATTTGTGGTTTACGACGGGATGAAGCTGTGGCTGGGAATTCCTCCTCGCCGGAGGCCGCAGAAGGAATAGCTACTGTAGAGCCGAAGTTTTGTTAGACGACACGGAAAAACGCAAAAACGAACTGGTTAAATGAAATATATACAGGCTTTGGTTTAACCCACGGTGTTCTGAAAAGCGCAATCAAATGCCTGAGCGGTGCGACGATGAAGGCATTGCTTTTGGGCGATCCAGGAAGACGAAGATCATTATCGACGCCGATCCAGGCATCGGTAAGAGCTAGTTTTTTCTTTTTTCTTCGGTTTGGGCTTTGGTTTTTGATACTGTGGTTTGTTTTCAGATGCAGCTATGGCGATCATCATGGCTCTTCGTTCCCCGGAAGTGGAAGTGATTGGAATCACAACCATCTTTGGAAGCGCCCACACTCCCGATGTGACAAGAAACGCTCTCCATCTGGTTTCTTTGTTTCCCTTGTTCTTTTATTCTTGGTTTTTTCTTTTCTCCTATAAGTATATGACACTACGATCTACCAGCTTGAAGTGATGGGATCGACACATGTACCAGTCGCGGAAGGAAATATCAAGCCTATGGCAGTAAGTTCTTGACAAGTTTTTGTTTGTTTCTCTCACCTTAAGGCTGGACTTTGCAGGGAGGAGTTCCATACATTCAAGACTTTGCAAATGGCCTGGATGGGCTTGGAAACATTGCCACGGCAGAACCAGCCACGAAAAAATCTGCGATGAGTGCATGCGACTTTCTCGTGGACACAGTCTCGAAGTATCCAGGGGAGATCACAATTGTCGCACTTGGGCCGCTTACGAATCTCTCCCAGGTGTAGATTTTTTCCTTGTGGCTCTTGTGACGCCTCTTCTCTCTTTCTTGAAGGCGTTTCAAAAGGAGGAGTGTGTTGTGAAGCTGGTCGCTCGTGTAGTTGTGCTGGGAGGTTCCTTTTTCTCGAGTGGAAACGCGAATCCAGCGTCAGAAGCCAATGTAAGTCCTTACGGTACTTGAGAGTGTGTATGTTGCGTTGATTGATCGTCACACAGGTAATTTGTGATCCAGAGGCTGCCGACATGGTTTTCTCGTCCGGAGCTCGCATCACCGTGATTGGAATCAACGTCAGCACTCAAGTCGTCTTGGAAGGTGGAAAACTATCTTTGTTCAAACACTGCACGGTTTCTAAGCTTCCTCCATTCGTACTGGCAGGGCGCGACTTGTCCAAGCTGAGTGACTCCTCAACGGAATCTAAAAGGTCTCTGCACGAGATGTGCAAACTCTACAGAGAATGGCACAAGAAGTCGGATCTCTTCGATGGTAAAAGCTATTCTTGTTTGTTCTCAAACCAGACGGCATTCGCAGGCATATATGTTCATGGCCCTACGTGTTTGGCTGCTCTGATCGCACCATCCTACTTTTCTTATAAATCCGGAGCGTTGCGGGTGGAAACTTTGGGAGTTTGTAGGGGATACACACTGTTCGACATGGGACTTAAGAAGTTTGTTGTTTCTCCATGTCTTTCTCACTTCTGTTGCCAAGTATAACGAGCTTGTCACTGTAGGTGGAACGGCCTGAATCCGTGGGTTGGGAGGCCCCATGTCGATGTAGCCTGGACCGTGGACGCATCAAAAGTTCTCGAGCTTGTCCTAGAGAGACTGATCCATACAGATACTTGAAATAAAATCATTCGCGAATTAACTGTTGTTGTTTGCCCTTTGCAGCTTCTAGAAAGCTTTTGTGAGACTGGAAGCAACCAGCGAAAGGCTAGGTACTTTTTTTTTCTTTTTTTTTTCTTGAACTCTACTTGTGTAAGATGGCAGTAGAGCAGATTACAAGGATGTTGTAGGCAGCCAGAGAGAAACAAATCTTCCCTCGAAAAAGACTGCTGCCCCGGAACTCCTGGCTATATTTTACATTGCTTTCCGGCTCGGTCAGACTACCTTTCATAGAAAGAAGAAAAAGAGAAGAATGTACAAGACGTGATCGAGTGAATGAGTGAGCACTTCGGTCTTCACTTCCGGAAGGAACTAATTTGTTTTGCCTGTCAATGGTTTTGAACCTCAGAACACAGGTATGGCCGATACAACCTGCCAAGAAAGAAGAAAGAGCGGCTGAGAACAAGGAACAACGACTGGAAGGAATACTTCCACGCACCTCAGAGTCGTTACTTTGCTGCTGATTGCCGAGGCCCATGCTCGGCTCCGTGAAAGCGAGAAGGTTTTCGTTCGCCTTGGAGAAGCTCCACAGTCTCTTGAGCTTGGAGTCCTCCAACACGTCCACCTCGGCTAGGAAAACTGCGGACACGGGGCGGTGGTCGGAGAACCTGGACTCGGATCTCCGGTACTCGAGCTGCCTCAGTCCTTTCCCGTACCAAAGTATTCGATCGCACCTACATACAGGTAGCACACAAAAGTTTATATTCTCTCCTTTCATGCCACGGATGAGAGCTGTGATTCCTTCTTACCAGGCAGGCGTTCTTCGTTTCTCGCCAGCTTTGAGCAGCAGGCCAGAGTATCGGTCGGAGTTAATCACGTACTTGTAAGTTGGCGGGAATTCAATGCAGCCCTCTTGCCAGCCATCGAAAACTCTCCCTGCCATCTTCTCCGTCCTCAGCTGCAAGGCGAGAGCAAACAACAAGTATAAGAAATCCAGCTCTGGGCCGCGGAGAAAAGTAAAGCACGGTGCACACGTTACCTGGTCGCGCCGCAGAAGCGTTTGCCAATCTCGTCTGGAAATGAGCAGCCGGGTCTGAGCATCCGGCAGAGCTATCCGATAGTTGAGGTCGCCGAGCCAGATGATCCGACTGAAAGAAGAAAGAAGAAAGAAACAAAAAAGAGAAAAAAAGTTAGTGCTTTTTGTTTGTCAATGAATGAATGAATGAATGAAGAAGAATGCGAGGATATGGATATGGGGAATGGATTCGAGGGAACTCACTCGTGTCCCATGATTGTCTCTGGCATCTCGGGCCAGGTGAGCTTTGGGCGATGGAAACACGTTCGGCGGAGAATCTCCGTAACGTCGGCATTCCTGCGCAGCTCGTCGCCCTCCCTCTCTCCCGACGTGAGATGCGAGCACACGAAGCAAAAGCTCGTCTCGTGCACGGACAAGCTCACCGCGATTGATCCCTGCCCAAGAACAGTCAGTTCTTCCTCCTCCTCCTCCTCCTCCTCTAGCTTGCTAGCTAGATCACTCAGCCAAATCAAAGAAGAAAGAAACCAAGCAATGCAAACTCGATCAAGACGAGAGCCAAGCAAGAGTTCTCACCTTGTTGCCGAGATAGCCCATCAATCCACAGCCCACGCACGAGACCTTGATGTTGCGGATCGCTGGCTGGATGCCCGCGCGAGCCCACACCGAGATGAAGATGCCCACCATCTGTTTGCTCGCAATGCGCAGGTATCGCGTCCCCTGCTGCGACGGAAGCGCCGCCTCGTCCTCGTCCGAGAGCGCGGTGGCGAACCATCCATCGCCGTTGGTGGGCATCACCACCATGTTTCTCTTCTTGGACGATCGCCGCTTGCTCTTCCACGAGGAGGATGGCGGCGCCGCCGCCGCCGGTGGGAGGGTGATCGGTTGATCGGCCACCAGCGCGAGGTTGACGCGATCCACCGAGATGCTGCGGCGGTGGTGCGATGCCGCGGGCGGGAGGATGGGCGATTTGGAGCGATTGAGCGCGCGGCTGATGAGGTTGTCCCACTTGATCGTGGCGGCGCCCTCGTGCTCGCCCCCAAGAACGTTGCCGGCGTTTAGCGGGACTACCTCTTGGAACCTGGTGGATCACAGCGGGATTTTTCTTAGTAGGAGCTCGGGAGCTGCCGGTCGAGATGGATGACGAGAGAAGAGTCTCTTCTTCCATCGGTCACTTCGAGAAAAGAAAAATCACTCACCCAATCACGTAGATGTCGGCCAGTTCCTCCTCAGTTGTGGCGCCCAGCCACGATTCCACGTCCAGATCGCTGGGTGGGCTTCGTCCAGCAACATTCCAAGTCGCGGTCATCACTCTAGCGAGACATTGAAGAGGAAAAGCGAGGAGATCGGTCATCAAGCACAGAAGTGGCATTAAACAAACAGAGTTTTTCTTCGTCTTTCTTACTTGATTTCCTCGATGTTGATGTGATCCGAGAAGAGCGTCTCGGAAATTCCACGCACCAGCATCACCGGGACTTCGCGAGGAGCCGACCCATCTGCAAGAACTTCCCATCGATCACAAGCGAGAAGGAAAAACAAAGGCATACCAGTTTCATAGTCGCTCATCACCTCGTCGGAAGAGCAGCTGAGCGCTTCGTGATCCCCGGAGGACTTGAGCAGCCTCCGGATCAGCTGTCGCGGCCAGAAATCACTCCGCTTGGCTCCCATTTCGTCTCACGGGGGAAGAGAGACAAAAACAAAGTGCGATGCAAGGACCGACCCCTGGATCTTACTCTTTGAGGAAAGATGAGGAAAAAGAGACCCCCTGCATGAAAGAGAGAGAGAGATCTTTAGAGAACAAACAAAAATCCGAATCATCACATCAGTTCTTGTCTGTCTTCCATACCTTGCTCCAGAGCAGGAAAAAAAAACGATCCGGAAGATCGCTGCCGGGACCAAATGGTGGTGTTGTCTATCCACCCAGCAAAATCAGTCAAGAACACGCAGGGAGGCCACAGCGATGGCTGCCACGGCTGTCGTTGGGTACCACTACAATGCTCCAAAGGGAGGAGATTAGCTTAGCGCGCGCAATGAAATCGCCCAAAACTCTGGTTCTTCGCTCGAGATCTTATAGTTGTGGCTGTTTGGTCCTTGTGAGAGGGAGATGATGATCGAGGGAACAAATGGCAGGGGATTTCTGCCACTGGGTCTCGGATCCGGATACTCCTCCGGCTATTGCGCGAGCGTGATGGCGATGGATCGATCAATCTCGATCGGTATCTCGATCGTCCTCGACTGACACAGCGGCACAGCGCACACCTCTAAAAAGCCTTCCAAGCGCTCAGGACGTCCTATCCTCTCTGTTCTTCCCCCAAATCGACAGACAAAGAGAAATCAATCAGAATCCAGTGGAAGGAAAAGAAGAGAGCGCCAGAAAAGCTCCCTCCTCGATCGCTCGCCCGCTCGCTCGCTTAGATGGCTACGACCGTGTCCCATCTCTCGGTGGCGTCCGCTCTCTTCCATCCAAAGTCCGTGCCTTGTGCCATAGATCGATCGATCAGAAGCAAAATGTGCTCAATCTTTCAGCACTTGTGGATGAATCAATCTAGCACGCCCTCTCGATGGACATGGATCGAAAGGAAGAACTATTGCTAGCAAGGAAAAAAAGGCTCGATCCGCGGAGAGCCAGACAACAAAACTCTAAGCAGTGCCTTAGAACATATACTTATGCCCGTTTTCTATGTGCGTTCCGGCTGGCAATGGGATGGGAATCGAGCGCGAGACCTCTCACTCCCAGGCATATTCCGGCCTATAGTTTCTCTAGAGAACATGGGTAGCCATTGACGGAGAATTGGTCGGGTCTCATGTAAGTTTTATGCCTCATGGTAAAATAGAAGGGTTAAAGAAGGCCTAATTACCAACATAAAAAGGTGGCCTAGTCCTTAACCCAGGTTGGCCCTGGTGATTGAATGCACGTTGATTTCACCAGATTCTCATGTGAAAAGCCCCACTCGTTCTGATTTGATGCTTCAGTTCTCGCGTACGGGACTACCACCACCACCCTGACCCTGTTAGGGTTCTATCTATCTGTCCCTAACTCTTTGCTCGTTTCCTAGCCCAATCGTACGGGGCGGACACAATTCCTAGGTGTGAGCCCCAAGACCTGGTCATGATTCAAATCTCCTCCCCGCCCATCCATCGATTCCATCCCCTTCCATTCCCATTCCACGATTTCCATCCTCCGGCGGGTGGCAGCCATCGCTCTCCGCGCATTGATTCGGGAATTAGGGTTCCTGGCGCGGTGAAAGTGTTCGGTTGAGAGGGGAACCGTACGGACGCCGTGTGATTGTGCTGGCATAATGTCACCACCAACCTTTCATCATCCCCTCCCACCAACTTAGGCTGTGTGTGTGAGTGTGAGAGAAAATGATAATCGTCTAAGCTATTGTATGATCGACCAGCATGTTCTCTCCTTGTCATGATCCTCTTGTTTATACCTATAGTTTAACAACCAAAGGTAATATAGTGAGTACTTTTCCCTTTGCCTCGAAACCATTGCAAAACCAAATCAACCGATCCTTCGGAACCGAACGAGGCGGTGGGCGCTCGCTTTTCTTGTTTTTCCTGGAAACGCAGAAGCGCCACTCAGCACTTCACCTGGGATATAGAAAATACGCAATTGAGACCATAACCATGAGGTGAATCCTCTGCCCAGGATATTATTCTATGCTTCTCAGTTGAGAGATTAGGTGGCATGTAATTTGATCAAAAAGCATTTGCTATGGTTTCTTGTAGGCTGGGTGGACGATGACGATGCGAGGGATCGGGCGAGCGTCGAGGTCCCCGCGCGCGTGTGCTGTGTGTACGTGGGACGTTCTCAGTCAAGGACGGACGGTCGTGATAGCATGGCCAGACATGGCCAATCATGATGATGGCAAATCATCAGCATCCATGGGTCATGATGTCATGGGATGGTATATCACTCATGCCCATGCCATCTCACCCATACCCCATGGCATTTTCAAGCGAATCTCCTCTCGCGCGTCACCAAATTCGACTGATCTTGCGAATGATTTCCAGGTCGCTGTAGGAATCCCCACAGTGGAGCGCCAAAATGTGACCTCTGCAAGACCCTTTTGGAGCTTTACGCGCGTTGTTCTCTGCCATGTCCAAGTGTCTTACTGCGAAAAAGGGGCGCTTAGACTTAGACGGTGATTTACTCATAGTTTTTTCTGATGCTGGTCAAATTTGCAATCGTTTGCTGTCGATCGAACGCGGTCGCCGCAGAGGCGCAAAGGGGCAGGCAGTGGGAATCACACGCACGCCAGCAACAAGCAGCAATAACAGATTTTTTTTTTCCGTTCGTTGGTTTGCATTTGCATTTGCTTGCTTTCCGCACATACACCTGGATCGTCTGGAAACATCCTCAATCTTCGTGGCTGGTTTCCAATGCCTGGGAAACAAAAAATCCTCCCACCACTGGATGGAAGAGTATTGGAATTTGTGAGAAGTTTCCACCGCCATCTATCCAGCCTTGGAGCAAAAGTCTAGTAAATCCTCCAGACAGGAGGATAGAATAGGGGAGCTTTGCTTTTGTCTCTTTTCTCATGCTCGGTGGGCCGCCGCCACCTGGCCCGACAATTTTTGCGGCGCACTCGCCGGGAACCCGCCGGTGGCGTCGGCTGGAAACTCGACAGTCTCCGCGGTGATGTAGGCTTCGAGCCAGACATGCCATGGCACATGCATGGGTCATACAGACCCCCATACATACATGCATGAATGCACGCATGGAAGGGAATATTATCTAACGGGCAAATGCCCCTGGATATTCTCGTTTGAACCGGGTTTGACCCACGAGTGATTGATTGATACGAACCTTTACACTTACAAAAATGGGCCTTCTTTTTTGGTTTCCAATCTTTTTGTAGCTGATTGATGCCTCGAGCGAGGGGTTTCCCAAAGCCCCAGGTTTCTAGATCGAGATGATTAAGTTTCTTTGCTTTGCTCCTGCAAAATCTCCTCGAATCACAAGCTTGAGGAGGAGGATGAGATCACGGTTCGAGTAATGGAGAACCCCGGATTCCCTGGTGGAAGAGCAGGAGTGGAGTGCGTGTGTGTGTGTGTGTGTTGAGTCCCAGTCACGCAAAGCCTTGGAAATTCCCCAGATTGGGCAATGTGAGGAGAGAAAGAGATGGATTTGGAGTATATATCTTTTGTTAATCCTTGCTGAGGACCCCCTGAATCCTTGCCTGGCACAACGGGGACTGCCCGCGTGCTCCATCCCTGTGGCTCGCTTGAACTCCAAGCTCTATCTTTTTCCGGCGGTGGAATCAGAGCTCTCACACCCCTTTTGACCGACAGCAGCGCAGAGTTGTCTTGTTGTTAACTTCTACGATGCAGAGAAAACCGCTACAAACTCCCATTGCTTTTGATAGATCATAGATTAGAGGTTTTTCTCGCCATCACTCTATCAAGAGCCCGTGCACAAACAGTGGTAAGATATTAAGAGCTATTTTTTATGTGTTTGTGGGCTGGACCATACAATTTGGATGCTTTAATTTGTTTAAGCCCCACGACCAAGTTTGAACGCTTTGTTTTGTGTGGTTGGAAGGCTTTCGTCGTCTTGGGGAAGAGATAAGGGAGTCTGTGTCAAAGCTCCGGGGTGGAATATGCGGCCTCGTCAGGACGTATGGTTTTCTAATCAGCCACAACGGATTAAGATAAGCGATGTTTAGTCGAGAACAGGGAGCTAGCATCAGCAAAAAGACTCGCCGGTTTTGAAAGATCTTTCGCTGGAAATAGACAAAGGAGACTGCTTATGTGTTGAATGCACCCCAGTCAAATGGAAGAACAACATTAAAAAGAGTCATCAATTTTGCTAAGAATTCATTGAAAGCTCCATCTAAACAAACGCAAAGGAAGCTTTCTATGGAAGAAAAACCTAATTGCAATTCATGACTTTGTCTCAGTGTAGATGGACAAAGAGCACTCAAAGCTACTGCAAGAACCGCAATTCTTATTGTGAGCACAAAGTTTTGGACATCTCCAGATCTTCAAACGTCCATTCCATCCTCACTAGACTTGGCTGGCAAAGCTTAAATTCGCATAGACATCCATGGTATCGTAAGTTAACAAAGAGAAGCTCAGTGCAAAGTCACCGAGCTTGCATGATCCCATTGAACTTGAGCATTCAAGCCAGTAAAAGGCTTTTATTACCGCGTTTAAGTTTCTTGCTTCGTCCCAAGTTCCTCGTCTCAAATTATTTTAACAACGAATAAGTAGAGCATCTTAAAACCAAGACTTAGTCCAGGTGGAAGAAAACAAAAGCGCAAACAAGCTGGAATTGGTGTGCGTGCATCGCACTTGGTACTTTTGTCATTGTCTTAGTGGTGTGGCAAATGTAAACTGAAAAAACTGGCCCATCGAGCTCGACACTTTTGGAGTAACTTACGCCACGCTTGCGATCTAGATATGTTCCACCCTAGAACTAGCTTTATTTGCTTTCACTGTAAAGATGCTACAACCACAAGCGAAAAAATGGACTGGAGTTTTTAAGAACTTTGCAGTGAACTTGGACAATGAATGCCTGTCTTTGTTTAGCTCAAACATCCTGAGAACTTGATCAGGACGAAGGCTTGGTACAAACGTAAACAAAATTAATGTCGGGATCAGAGATCCCGAGCAAGAAATCACACTCCCAGTTGCCATTCATTGGTATCGCACCTGCGTATGCTTCCGGGATGTACGCTGTGGTACCCGGTTTGGCTGTAAGCCGGAACAAAGGAAACTCGAAATCTGGACAAGAAAAATGAAGAGAAGACGATCTTACGAGTGAGGTGAAGCACAACTTTCCAGTCCAATGCCGGGTGCTTGAGATGGTGCATCCTGAGGAGTGGCTCACCGTAAGTTATCTGTTTAAACACGGAGCTACCGATCAATTCTTTTGCAGCGGAAGCTTACGATTGAGCATACCAGTATGAAGACTCCTCCTGGTTTTAATACCCTGAGCTAAAAAGCTTGTTACGGGCACAAAGAACTGGAGTAAGGAAAGGCAGAAAACTAACCTCCGAGTCTCCTCCAGCATGAAGCTGACGTCTATAAATCCATTCGATCCACACTGGCATGCACAGAGCAAGGTCACAAACGCGACAACTCACGAGAGCTCAAAAACAGCCATACTCACCAGCATGGAATCCATCAGCCCTGACAATGTAAGAGCGTTGTTTACTTCGATCAGAAAAGAAAGTAGAATACGAAATGGTTCGTTACCTTTGTCGATCACGGCATCGAAAGAGTTGTCCCCAAACACAGCCATGTTACGCACATCCATGGTCACATCTGAAAGAAAAGAAAGAGAGAAAACTGTGATTAGAACCAGCCACCAAGCACGTCATAGCGAGCCGTTTAAATGGCTATACCAAGGATAGAAGATACAAGTTAGTTGAGGAATGTGGCGGTGCCTTTGCTGCATTTTCTTGATCACGACCGACGAGAAATCGATGTTTACGATCTCCTTGAATCCATTCAAAACCATTTCCTCGGAGAGAACTGCACGATAAGTTCCAAATATCCGGTGAGATTGTCACACAAGAGAAGAAGGAAACACAGGAAAAACTCACCAGCGTTTCCACAGCCAGCCATCAAAATGCGTGAATCTTTCTTGATATAACGACACAAAAGAGGCTTGAGCTCTTTGAATCGCTGATACCAATCAAAAGTATCATCTCCTTCATCCAGATACCTCTTATCCCAGTACTGGATATCGTCATACTCTCTCAAATGAGCCATAGCTCCACGCTGCTTACCAAACAACACAAAGATTCTAAATCAAAAATAGAGATAAAAAAAAAAAACAACAAAGAACTACCTCAAGAACACGAACAAAGAAAGTGAAAAATCCAATCCCTAGCTAGCAATCAAATGAACAATCAATCCAACCGTACCTCGCAGCAGCAGCAGCGCCAGAGCTTGAATAAAAGCTTCTGTGCCGCGGTCGAAAGCGATTGAAAAAGCAAAGAATTAGAATGCGATGGCGCTCGCGAGTGATATTTATGGTGCCGCGACACGATCCAGTCGCCCCGACCGCTCCATTTCCATGCGCGCTCCTCCCGCCACAGTCAAGCGCCCTTGGAACAAAACGATGCATCGATTGAAGAATGGTCCTTCCGGCAATGGGGTGATCGGGGCCGTCGGCACCACCGGCATCCGACGGCCTCACTTGAGATTCCAATTGGACGGTCGCAATTACCCCGAAAGGGACGGCTTCGATTGACCCACTTTTGTCTCTCCCGTGACCGGGCAACACAAGCTTGGCGTGAACGTGGACACTCAACTACCACCACGTGTACCGCCACCTAATTCTTTCGCTCCCACACGCAGTACTCGTTGCCAAGAGCCGCGATGGCGAACTCGTCCGAGCTGGGCGCCATGTCACCAATGTCAAACCTGGGCCCCATCTTCACCACCAGCTTGCCGTCCGCCACGGACGCCACGTAGACGTCCTCCTCAGCAGCGATGATGCTGACGCTGGAATTAGCCACTACGTTGTTGCGCTTCCGGACCTCGAGAAGAGCTTTTATCTCGTCCTTGAGCCCCCATTCGTAGTAGTGATCATAGAACTATACATGTAAAAGGACAATGTTAGAAGAAATCAATGAAACGAAGAAGAAGAGTTCCCTGAACTTTGGAAGAACTTACGATGCATGGAATGCCGGGATGCGTGAGAATGTAGACATATCCAAGCATAACTTTGTCCGCTGGGAACGGCCAGTGCTTCTGCGTGGATCCGGTGTCGTGGTTGTCGACGAATGTCACCGCTTTCTGGGGCCAGTAGCCGATCACTCCAGCTGGCTTGTTGTTGGGATCTCTCAGCCTCCAAAACTGGTTCTTGACGGCCTCCTGGAGGATTCCTTTGGTCGTGAAGTCGAAAGCTGTGGAGCGATTACCGGTGGCATTGATCCAATCGACTACCTCCTGCCTGTGACTGTCCTGGTTATACTCGACGCTACCATCCGGACCATAGTTGAGGTTCGTCCAGAATTCCCCAACCGAGAACTCCGGTGTGGTTCTCTCGATGTAGAGACCTGTGTAACTTCCGGCGTAGCCTTTGGAGAAATCAAACCGCCAACCATCGAAGCCAATCGTTTCCTTCATCCACTTCATCCAGCCTGCGAGGTCGTCCTGGACTCTGGGATTGGTGTGGTCGATGTCTGGAGCGGCACCAAAGTCTTCACCCGTGTCTGGAGCCCCAGAGCCGTCGCTGTATGCGTAGTCGTCCTTTGTGATGGCCCAGGGTCCCCAGTCGAGACGCTCGTCCGGAGTTCCACCCTCGAAAATGCACCACACCCCCCGCTGGTCTTGAGAGTCCCCGCACCTATGGTTGATCACAATGTCTGCGATGCATCTGATGCCATGAGAGTGGAACTTGTCGATGACTTGCTTTAGTTTCTCTTCGTTCCCGTACTTTGACGCATTCAGGTCGTAGAGCCTTCCAGGCATGTAGCCTGAAGAAACAAAACAAAAGTCATCCACATCCACGAAAACGAGAGACACAAGTTCTTACCTTGTGGTGCCACAGAATGGGTTGCTGGAGGCAGCCAAATGTCCGTGACTCCAGCTTGTGCCAAGTCCTCTGCAGTGTTCATCAGTACATCATACCAGCAAGGGTTCCTCCACGACTCCCAATTAAATCCCTGAAAGGCAACACAAAAGATCATAACTCGTTTTCGACCGAAGCATCACGACTACGTACCTGGAAAAGAACAACGTTGAGAGGATCGCACTTGATGTTGCCACCTCGCGACTTTGAAACTTTCTGTGGTTCAAACTCCGGTTGTGGTTCTCGCTCGACGACAGCCGGATCACCTTGCTTCGTTTCCAGAACTTCTTCCCGAGGCAGAGTGGCTGGATCAGCAGTACCATTATCGGCAACGTTCTCCAGGTACTCCTTTGTTTGCTGGATCTCCGCCTCGGCAACTTTCTTCAGCGACTCCGCCACGAGTTCCTTCGTCTCCTCTGACCTCTCGCTGGTTGGCACCTCGGATGTGGACTCCGTGGCTTTGCTCCTCACCCGACTTCGTCGATCCACGCACAACCTGTTGCTTGAATTCAACGACATCGCTCCCGGACTCTGGCAAATCAATCTGCTCTGAGGCAGTAGCTGCTGCTGTGAAGAACAGCACCTGATTCCAGCGAGCTGGTGAGCTCCTGGCATCAAACTTTTCACAACGATCGCCTCCATATCTGCTCGTCACGTCACACCCTCCTCGTCTATAGACTGGTCCCTTCCCTCTTTCCTCCTTATAAAAAAGGTTCTAGTGTCTTCGGGCCGTCTCCAGTGAAGACACGAGTTCCATCCCGAATACACGCGGCAATAATTCGAAAGCCCAAGTGGCGACTAGCCGCTTTGCCCGACTTTACATCTCCCAAAGCACTGTTTCCAAAACCTGGAATCTAAAATATCAGGTTTGACTGTATCATATCCCGCGATACCCCCACCCATACCAAAGCAGCTCACGCTTTTTCTTTTCCATCCAGCGGGACCACTTCTGTCTTTCCGTCCATATCACTTCACGGCAACTCCGTCTTCTTTAGAGTTCCTTTGCTCGAATCCCAGATGTTTTGTTAGCAAGCTCGAGTTCCTGATCTCTCCTTCCCGACTTGTTGGATTTTGGCGACGCTGGCCTTTGCTCCTGATGCTGCTCTTGGTGGTGGTCACGACCGCGGTGGTGATTCCCATTGCTAGAAAACTGTCGCTGCATTTCCTTGTCCATGACCATGTACGATGGAGATCGTTTGCCGCTTCTTTTACTGCTCCCAAGCTCGGCTTTCATGTCCTCCATGGTATTCTTAAGAACCTCGTTCTCGGCGTGAAGCAAATGAAGCTCACGCTTCATTGACGAGCAGAGCTTCGCCACCTTTCCCAGCTCTGGAGGCTCGGGCTCTCTGATCAAGCCGGAAAGTGCAATGGCCTCGTCACTGTCAAGCACCGGCAGTGTGCTCGTCGTGACTGTCCGCAGCCTGTTTAGATCTTCCAGAGACTTGACGCTCAGCTTGTCCACAACGAGAACCGGGAGCTTTTTGAACGAGAAGATGTCCGTCTCGTTTTTGAAGCTCTCGAGGATATCGGAGTCGAGCTTGACTCGCCAGCGTACGCTAGCCACCGCATGACGACCCAGAGGAAGCGCAGTGTGAGCGACCAAGCTCCAGTTACCATTCCCGGGAGCCTGCGCTAGATGTCCAGTCTTGACGTGGAGGTCGACAGGATGATCTTCAAAGCCCTGCTCGATGCTTGGCGCAGCAGCCTTGAGATGATCGTCCTGATGATCGTCTTCGACGTCTTCCACCATGACAATGCTGCTTCCCTCGGAAGAAGGCGGGCTGCTAGCTTTAAAAGTGCTCAAGGTGGCCAAGTCGGGCGAAATCTTCTCAGGAGTCCTTGGCATCACTTCGATCCTCGACCCAGGACCAAGACCCACACTAGCCTTGCTCGATCCAAGAAAAGATCCTTCCTGCGGCTCTTCCTGGCCGCTAGCACTGTCCTTGATCGATTCTTGCTGCGCGATCGGGCTTGGCGAGACAGCGGTCTTCCTGAGACTGAAATTTCCCAGCCGGGGCTTCACCTGGACGGCCAAAGACGGCGTACCTTTGCTGGAGAGCTTGAATTCCGCGGCCATGACGAGCGGCGCGTCCGTCGGCGATCCCCACACCCCGAATCCACTCTTGATCAGCAGCGACAGCGGGCATTCTCCACTGTTAGGCCTGTACGTGATCCTGCAAGAAGGCCCTGTCTGGAATAGGGTTCCAAGATGGAACGAGAGCTCGCGCGAGCTCCCCAGCGCGATCCCTGACACGATCGGCACCCCGAGCAAGCTCAGCGGGAGCTTTGCTCGCAGCAGCGGCTGATCGCCCTCTCTCAGCTTCACCGACGCTTTCATCGCTCTCTCCTTCACAAGAAAATTCTTAGGGGAAACGGAGTACGAATAGGGCAAAGCCACGTGGAGTTACAAACGGGCAGTGAGAATATACTCAGTCATGAGCTATGGCGGGATTTCGATACTGGTGGCGAAGTGTTTGCCATACAAGGGTTTCGTCGGCTCGGCTTTGTCTAGGGCAAGGGCGACGGCGAGCGGCGCGGCGATCGCGCGAATGGCGTCCACTGGCACTGGCGCCTATGATTTTGAGCTCAAGATCGCCATGGAGGCCGTGACGCTCGCTTGCGGCCTCACTAAGGTATGATCCAGAAAAATGAGCCTGTTTAGAGTCTCTCTTTGTTTCGCGCATCGGCATTGTTCCTTTTGGAGAGATTTCTCGTTTTTTTCTACGTGATCGAATTCTTTCTGGATGAAACGCGAACTGATCGATCGTTTTTTTTTTCCTGGTGTTTGGCAGTCCGTGCAGAGAAAACTATTGGAAAACGAAACGCAATCGAAAACTGACAACTCTCCGGTTACTATAGCAGATTATGGTACAAAACATGGCACCACGTAGAACTTCTCATGGAGTTTTGATTTGCAGGCTCACAGGCAGTGGTCAGCTGGGCTCTAGAGCGGCAACTCCCCGCCGGAACGTTCTCCATGATAGCAGAAGAGGTTTGTAGCTCGCGATATTTCTTTTCTCCGGTGAAACTCTTGTTTTACTGACACGGTCCATAGGATTCCGAAGACTTGAGAAAAGAAGATGGAAAGGCCATGCTGCAAAGAATCACAGAACTCGTTAATTCTATTCCTTCCAAGGATGCGGTGCTTTCTTCGGAGGACGTTCTTTGTGCAATCGATCGAGGCAAGGCCGAAGGTGGTGTTCAAGGACGACACTGGGTTTTGGATCCTATTGACGGAACCAAGGGGTGAGTAGTGACACGTCTCCAAGTTCGTCTGGCTCAAAGCTTTTATACATTCCCAGATTCCTTCGTGGAGAGCAGTACGCAATCGCATTGGCATTGCTGGACCGAGGATCCGTTGTTCTTGGTGTTCTCGGCTGTCCGAACTTGCCGCTGAGCGGGTTGTCCGACGATGGAAGCTCACCAGTCGGTTGCTTGTTCACCGCTGTGAGAGGAGCTGGAACTACAGTTCACGCGATCGATCGTTCAGTGCAGCCTCGGAAGGTACTTCAAAAATTCAAGCTCTCGAAAAACAGGGCACATTCTTGAGATTTTTACGTAGGTTCGTGTCAGCGACCTCAGCGACCCCGCCTTGGCAGCGTTCTGTGAATCGTATGAATCGGCTCATTCAAAGCATGACTTGACGTCTGGCATTGCTAAGGTGATATTTTCCGCGATGGTTTTCTTCTTAGAGAACGTCTTTGCAGATGCTGGGAGTGACAGCGTCACCGATCCGAATGGATAGCCAAGCGAAGTACGGGGCCATGGCGAGAGGAGACGCAGCGATTTACCTTCGTTTCCCTCACAAGGGATACCGGGAGAAGATCTGGGATCACGCAGCCGGTTCAATCGTCGTAGAAGGTAGCAGCAGCAAGAGACTTGCAAACTCTGATGAGTTTGGTTTTGATGGTCAGAGGCTGGTGGTGTGGTTGTGGACGCTGCTGGACGGGCCCTGGATTTTTCCAAGGGAAGATATCTGGATCTGGACACGGGAATTATTGCTACAAATCCCTCGCTTCTCACGGCAGTACTCACTGCAGTGGAAACTTGCGTTGGATCAAAGAGTTTTTTGTGACGAGGTAAAAGAGTTTTGGGTTTTGGGTTTTGATTAATTACTGGAAAAGGCTCCTTAAATCCACACCTTTTCCCATGGTTATATAAACTTGCCACAGCTGCGAGTCATATTGTGGGTATGGAGCAAGAGAATTGGAAGGTTTTGCCAACACCGGAGCAAATTATGGAGAGGCGGCGCCTTTGGATACAGCGAAACCGAGCTGACTATTTGGAAGAGATTGGCGGGGAAACGGAGAAAGACGATGTGAAGCTGGAGAAACATTCTCCCGGTGGGGCGTCAAACTCCTCTAAGAGAGTTGACGAGGAAAAAGAAGATGCTTGTCTAGAAGGCCACAACAATAGTAATAACAGACTTCTTTGGTGGTTCTGTGATTCTTTGTTTTATCCTGTATAGGTTGTATTTGTTTTCCTGGAAACAAGAAGTTAAAGAAGTTTTCTTATAATTCCAACTTGTAAAAGGTTCTTAAGAACAAACATGTTTCATATGTAATGATCTCATGGCCCAATGGACAAGGCGCTGGTCTACGGAACCAGAGATTCTGGGTTCGAGCCCCAGTGAGATCGTGAATGCTAGATTGTGGTATCAAAGAGTTTTTCTGTGAGGTTTTTGGTGAACTTAGCTCACCCGAACGTTAGCTCATAATTCTAGGGTTTTTTTTTATGCCTGCAGCTCCTTTTGTGATCATGGGCCTGGGTGCGGTGGGGTACTTGTTTAAGCGGTTGTATCAGGGTGCGCCGCCTCAATGGCAGTTGATAGATGTTAGCCGACATGTCCGTGCAACATCCCAGGTATATGCTATTTTTCTTGGTTTCTTTACCTGAATCCCTTGCAGCATGGCGCGGCTGCCATCGAGGAGAAGATGTATGTGGTGGGAGGATGCTGCAGGGACCGATACTTGAACGATGTGCTTGTGAGTATAGCGTGGATCTTTTCTCAAGTTCTTAGTAACACTCTCGTGGAGGTTTTGGATTTGGGAAGCTTGAGGTGGTCGACAGCCCAGCCTTGTCCCGTGTCGTGTGCCGGCCATTGCGTGGTGAGTTGAGGCTATTCAAGTTGTTTATGGCGGGGCTTTGCTTAAACACGGCCGACGAGCTTTGCAGTTAGCAAGAGGAAGAACGCTCTTACTCGTTGTTGGCATTCCGTCTGATGAAAAGATGCGGGGTACTGTGTGACTTTTGTTTTCCTCCTTTCCATGGCTTTGGCTCATCCGTGTATACAGTCTACCAATTTGACACAAATCAGTGGTCACGTATAGAAACGACGGGAGACATTCCAGTAAGCAAGCATTCTAGATTGTCGTTAAAACTTCGCGTGACTTTGTGTCCATAGGATGCAACTCGTGGTCACTCCGCCACCCTGATCGGGAACAAAATATGGGTGTATGGCGGTGTGGATTTTCGTGGTCAGCTGCGCCGTCAGCTACATGCACTCGATCTGGGAAGCAATCAGTGGGAGCTGATTAAAGCAAGGTAATATATCAATCCATAATTCCTGTTTTACTCGCGGCCTCCATGGCAGTGGCGTCATCCCACCGGCGCTTTCTTTCCATGCTGTGGTGCATGAGGGCAACCATCTGTACGTTTTCGGAGCTGGCTCGTCTGGCTTCTGCAAGAACCTATACGCACTGGATCTCGTAAAGGTATGCACGGAGTAAGATGGTGTGGCCAAATTGTTTGCAGAGAGAATGGTCCAGGTATCCAGATCAAGGTCCTGCCCTCGTGCCTGCCGCACTTTTTGCAACTGCAGTCACTGAAAACCAGTGCTATGTTGTTGGTGGTAAGTTTTGCTTCCTGCTGCTCCGTTTATATCTCATATATCTATAACAGGCGCTACGAAAGAAACCATGCTATTGAACATGGAGTCTTTGAAGTGGACCGTAGTGTGTGCCGAACCTCGTTTGGCTACTGAGGTAAGTGCACTTGTTTCTCCGAACGGAAAACACTACTAGTCTACATAACGTGTAGAGCCTGAGCTTGGTGCACGCGAGAATCAAAGGTCGAGGTGCTCTGATTGCCTCAGGGGGGATTCCGGTACGTGATTTATGTGTTGGCCGCTCACCCGACTGATCCTCTGCGCTTCTTGCCTGCAGTTTAGCGTCTTTCTACTCAAGACTATGAAGTCATATCCGGTGCTGCCGCATCCGATGGGCAAGTGCCAGGTGAGGAGCGTAGACGGGTCACTTCTGGAGCTCTTTGACATTCCAGACGCAGGGGAGCAGGCTCTTAAGATTATAGACAGGCTTTGGACGAAGGTGGGGAACGGAGGCGTCTTGGTGAGGGACGGCTGTCCTCTGGAACGTGACGATGCCATCTTTCCAGGAGACGAGCTAACATTCCACCCAAATGATTTTGTTGGAATACGTGGTAGCATTCATCGCCAGGTGTGTGAGATCCGTCTCATGGCTCTTGGAAGCTGTCAGCTGGTCCTCGCCGCGGCGAAGATCGAGGTCATTAGAGGGGAAGGGTGGCTAGAACCGCGGGAGGAAATCGAGAGCCAAGCTTTCGGAGGGTGGAATAGCAGGAGGCAAGGGGACACGATGCAGTACCTGGTGGAGGGTGCCAAAGTTCCTCGTCTTTACAGGCTGGAGCATGTAGCTAACGATGAGGGCACATTCATGGAGGAGATATCGACCACAACCCCGGACGAGTTCCCCTACACCCTCCGCTTCAAACTGGACGCGATGCTCATGCACATGAGTGTGGCCGAGGACATCATCACGGGCTACTATATCAAGGAAGAGATTAGCGGGGTGGACATCTGGAGGGCTCTCGTGATGTTGCTGGGAGTGAACATCAGATGCCGCACCCTCAAGCCGTGGATGGTGATCACGGACCTCAAAGACGAGTGGCACTTCGCGTGGATGGACTGGCCTCGCATGTACGTGTGCAAGGCGTGGAGCAGGAGCCAGGGACTGGGGATTCTCTGTGACCTGTGCCACGACTACAACCTGGTAACCTCGCCTGAGACGAAGGGCTGTCTCTCGAACCTGCCTAGCGTCTTCACTCGCGCTTGTCCGGCGTTCAAGTGGGATATGGATGAGGAAACGCGGGTGATGTTCGCCCCTCGCCCGCCTGCCTTTCATAGGTGTGCGAAAACTGGCAGCGCACTCAAGCGATATAGACCTGAGCAACACTAGCTTATTAGTTGCAACGATCAGAGTAAATAACTTTGATCGTTGAGATTTTTATGAGCAAGGATTGGACATCCAAGTTCGAGGCTCACGGGCTCTTATTTCGTCCTGCAGGCTGCAACTCTTGTTTGCTGCGCTACAAGCTTGGGGAAAGTCCTCTATGACCTAACTTACGGCAAGGAGAGAATTTCGTTTTCTTGAAAATTCTTGTCTGACCTAATGCTTACTGAACTCAGTCCATGCAGAGAAAACTATTGGAAAACGGACTGGTACAAAACATATCATCATGTACAACTTCTCATGGAAATTCTTATTTGCAGGCTCACAGGCAAATAAAGAAGCTCGCCATATTTCTTTTCTCCTTGATGATGGAACTCTTGTTTTACTGTCCCTGGTAGGATTCCGAAGACTTGAGAAAAGTGGCCATTTGCAAAGAATCACTGAACTCGTCAATTCTATTTGTGCAATCGATTGAGACAAGGATAATGAAAAAGCTAAATCTAAAACAATCTTGAACATAGGGAAGGATCTTGCCAACCCCAGGAATAAGTTGTAAGACTTTATATGCCAGTTAGAAAACTTTTTTCCGATTCTAGAATATTCTTTCTAGTTTAACAGAAAAACATTCATAGAATATTCTAGAATTTCTTTCTATAAAAACATTCATAGAATATTCTAAGAATGTTTTAGAATATAATTCTGCCTTATGCAAGCACTTCTCAGCTACAAAGCGCAAGGACATCTCTCATATCTGATGAAAACACAGATCCTCATGCTGGTTGTAAAGAAAAAGTTTTTCGAACCCTGTTGCTAACCTGATCATTTTCCACGATGGCTTTCTTAGTTAGAAAACGTCTTTGCAGATGTTAGGAGTGACTGCGTCACACAGTACGGGGCCATGGTGAGACGAGACGCTGCGATTTACCTTCGTTTTCCTCCAAGGGATACCGGGGATCACACAGCTGGTTCAATTGTTGTAGGAGGTAGCAACAGCAAAGACTTGCAAATCTTTTGGTCCTGATAAGTCTGGTTTTGATGGTCAGAGCCTGCTGGACGCGCCGGACGCGCCCTGGATTTTTCCAAGGGAAGATATCTGGATCTGGACACAGGAATTACTGCTACAAATCTCTTGCTACCCACGGTGTTGGAAACTTGTGTTGGATCAAAGACAGCGCAGCTTTATGTTTTGCGTTGGAAGGTTTTGCCAAGTTGAGGACTATTTGGAAAAGATTGGCGGTGAAAGACTCTTTCCCCATGAGATGGCGAGGCTTCAAACTCCTTCAACAAAGCTGAAGATGTTTGAAAGCCGAGTGGTTTTGTGACTGTCCTCTGTCTGTTTTCTTCATACCTCTTGTTTCGTACGTAATGATCTCATGGCCGAAAGGACGAGGCGCTGGTCTACGAAACCAGAGATTCTGGGTTCGATCCCCAGTGAGATCGTTTAGCCATAGCACCTTCTTCGAGGTTTTCTTAACCTTGAATCCCTTGCACCATGGCGCAGCTGCCATCGAGGAGAAGAGGAGGATGCTGCAGGGACCGATACTTGAACGATGTGCTGGTGAGTTAAGTAGTGTCTCAAGTTCTTAGTAACACTCCGTGGTCACTCCGCCACCTTGATCAAAATATGGGTGTATGGCGGTGTGGATTTTCGTGGTCAGCTGCGCCGTCAGCTACATGCACTCGATCTGAGAAGTGGGAGCTGATTAAAGCAAGGTAATATATCAATCCGTAATTCCTGTTTTACTCGCGGACGGCGTCATCCCACCAGCGCTTTCTTTCCATGCTGCGGTGCATGAGGGCAACCATCTGTGCCTTTTCGGAGCTGGCTCGTCTGGCTTCTGCAAGAACCTATACGCACTAGATCTCATAAAGGTATGCACGGAGTAAAATGCAGCTCTGATGGTCTAGCGATATTGTTTTGCAGAGAAAATGGTCCAGGTATCCAGATCAAGGTCCTGCCCTCGTGCCTGCCGCACGTTTTGCAACTGCAGTCACTGGAAACCAGTGCTATGTTGTTGGCGGTAAGTTTTGCTTCTTGTTGCTCCGTTTATACCTGATATATCTATAACAGGCGCTACGAAAGAAACCATGCTACTGAACATGGAGTCTTTGGAGTGGACTGTAGTGTGTCGTTTGGCTACTGAGGTAAGTCCTTAAGTTGGACTTGTTTCTCCGAACGGAAAAGACTACTAGTCTACATAACGTGTAGAGCCTGAGCTTGGTGCACACGAGAATCAAAGGGGAATCCGGTACGTGGTTTACATGTTGGCCGCTCACCCGACTGCTCCTCTTGCCTGCAGTTTAGCGTCTTTCTACTCAAGACTATGAAGTCATATCCGGTGCTGCCGCATCCGATGGGCAAGTGCCAGGTGAGGAGCGTAGACGGGTCACTTCTGGAGCTCTTTGACATTCCAGACGCAGGGGAGCAGGCTCTTAAGATTACAGACAGGCTTTGGACGAAGGTGGGGAACGGAGGCGTCTTGGTGAGGGACGGCTGTCCTCTGGAACGTGACGATGCCATCTTTCCAGGAGACGAGCTAACATTCCACCCAAATGATTTTGTTGGAATACGTGATAGCATTCATCGCCTGGTATGTGAGGTTCGTCTCATGGCACTTGGAAGCTGTCAGCTGGTCCTTGCCGCGGCGAAGATCGAGGTCATTAGAGGGGAAGGGTGGCTAGAACCGCGGGCGGAAATCGAGAGCCAAGCCTTCGCAGGGTGGAATAGCAGGAGGCAAGGGGACACGATGGAGTACCTGGTGGAGGGTGCCAAAGTTGGCGATGTTGTTATACTGGAGCATGTACCTAACGACGAGGGCACAATCATGGAGGAGATATCGACCACAACCCCGGACTCCGCTTCAAACTGGACGCCATGCTCTTGTACATGAGTGTGACCGAAGGACATCATCACGGGCTACTATATCAAGGAAGAGATTAGCGAGGTGGACATCTGGAGGGCTCTCGTGATGTTGCTGGGAGTGAACATCAGATGCCACACCCTCAAGCCGTGGATGGTGATCACGGACCTCAAAGACGAGTGGCACTTCGCGTGGATGGACTGGCCACGCATGTATGTGTGCGAGGCGTGGAGCAGGAGCCAGGGACTGGGGATTCTCTGTGACCTGTGCCACGACTACAACCTGGTAACCTCGTTGCAGGAGGGCTTTCTCTCCACCCTGCCGAGCGTCTTCACTCGTGCTTGTCCGGGGTTCAAGTGGCATGTGAATGAGGAGACGCGGGTGATGTTCGCCCCTCGCCCGCCGGCCTTTCGGAGATGAGCTAAAACACTAGTTGACGAGTAAATCTTTATGTCTAGGCATTATACGATATTTACTGAAAAATAGCAGGGTTGGAGCAGGGTTTTGCCAACACCAGAGTAAATTATGGGGACGCGGCACCTTTGGATTTGATGATTTTTGTCTAGAAAGCCACGACAGTAGTAACCTTTGGTGATTTTGTGATTATCGTTTGCAATCAGCTATCTGTTTCTTTAGTAGGACGTATCGAGAGTTTTATCTAATCCTTATTTCTTTTCCTTTTTCTTAATCATCAAAAGGTAGTGGCTAAGGTTTGCGATATTGGGAGATAATCTCTCACCCTTTTAAGAATTGATTAGTATCTACGGAACAATAGATTCTGGGTTCCATCCTCAGTAAGGTCGTAATCTCGAATTTTAGCTCTATGCTGGTAATCTGGGGAAAAGTTTTTTTTTCGGGAAAATAAAATTTCTCAAGAAACTGCTGAGAAGTTTTCAACTCATTAACTTCTTAATCTTGACATCCCAAACTAATCCTCTGTTGACAATGAACTATTGTCTGGTGATTCAATTTCTGGCCTTTGAATACCCCAATATGAGTCTATACGAAGATCATCCTGCTGCATAACCTTGCCATAGTCATGACAGTTGACATTTGATGAGCTTCCACCTCCAAATGCTGTTTCGACTTTAGACATATCAAATATATCATGGAGCAGCTTCAAATTACTGCTGTAGACGAACTTAACCTTCTTGCAAGTGCTTGGATGCAAAAATGGTCAGATTACCTATATAGGACACAGAATATAAGATTAAGAAGCAAAACAAAACAAAACATACCACCCAAAATGTCTCAAATATGTAAGGAGGATTATAAAGGATGGCCAGGCCAAGCCACTCTGGATAAAAAGTTTGTAAGATGTATGCTATATCTTTGGCTGTCTTGACAGATGGGGACTTAAAAATAGACCAGCCATTGAAATCAATAAGCCAAACCATTTGGTCCTGTCCATTTGGAGGGAGATTAACAATAACATTCTCCATGAAATAGACTAGTTGCTTAATCTGGCCTGCTGGAGCTGAAGTATTCTGAATTATAAGAAAAAGAGAAGAAAAACAGGAGTAAACAAGCTATTGGAATTATAAAAGAAAAGAAAAGAAAAGAAAGAAGATGCTGCTTACTTGAGCACCGGGACGCATCACAAGAACTGGTCTGCCGAGCTTGTCCAGATAATTTGCTTTGTAAAGCTTCCCAGTCTCGGACTCTCTAGCAACATCTCCCTGGAAGATTTCTTTGCACTGAGAAGAACAAAAGAAAGAAGAAGGAACTCTTCTTACCCAGCGAATTTCTTCCGGCTTGTAGGATGCTCTCCAGCTTAGGGCCTCCTTGAGCATCTTCTCGGCTTTCCTGACGCTCCAGTTGCGAGCTCTCAAGAATTTCCGCAAGCACGAGTCTGTGCAGTACTTCGATTCTCGATCGGACAAACCTGTGAGCCGATTGGCTAGCTCTGAGACCTGTTCTCCAAGAAAGCGATTGAATCCTTGGGATTCAATGGAAATTCTCTACCTTTGCGTCTTGATCGGCCGCTGCCAAGCAGCATTCCTCGCTCGCCATTGCCAGTTTGTCAGGAGTATCGACACTCCCGCCCTAAAATAAAAAAGTTTCAAAGCGATGCTGGCCGTTGGATTCATTGTAGCGGTTTTAGGGTTCTAGGCCGGGGTCCCATGGCGCCAGGCGCCGTCTTCCAGGGTATGCGCAAGGAATCGGCGGCATTCCGCCTCATGAAGCAAATGGTGAGCTGCCAGGGTTGTAATTGCCGATTTGCAGCTCAAATATGTGATCGCAGGGATGGGAAGAAGGATCTGGCCTGGGGAAGGACAGTCAGGGCATCAAGAAGCACCTTGTGGTGAAGAAGAAGGATGATACCGCAGGTATGGTATTTTTTTTCCTAGACGGTGTGGTAGAAGATCTCGTCTGTAGGTGTTGGTGCGAATGAAACTCACAATTGGACTTTCAACACGACTGACTTTGACAATCTTCTAAAGAAATTGAAAGTGGTATGTGTCGCTGGTTTTGCTGATTCGTCTAACAGATGTTTTTGTGTGATGCAGCAAGTCACTGACAAGCCCCAGCATCGTAAGTTTCTAGAGCTGGAAAAATATTTCTTGTGTTTACAGCTCGTTTCTTGCAGGGCAAAGCGATCAACCCGACGGCGAAGAAAGTGACGAGTCTGAAATCGAGAACAATGAATCTGATAGAGAAAAAGAGGAAGAGGTGGAAGTCAAGAAAGTCTGCCGGCCTCAAGGGCGGTAAGACGAGATCATCTAAAAAGATACGAAACCTAACTTGCTTTTTGTGAAAGGTACAAGAGGATCGAACGTGGGAAAATGGTGCGCAACTATTCAAAGCAAGACCTTGAATCCATTTTGGTATGTTACAAGTCGCTACAAGTGAGTGCTGATGGTATGTTACATTTTCCAGGGACGCGAACAAGTAACCGAAAAGAAGGAACATGTAATTACGTTCGTTCCAGTCAAGCAAGTTCACACAAAACAGGAAGTGAAGCTCACTGGTTTGTTCCATTCTTGGCTTTTATTTGTTCCGGTTTTGATTGTGTTTATAACAGTGATCGATCCACCAGCCGAGTGGTGGGGAAGCAAGCTCGGTTTTGTAAAAGCAGGAACGCTTGGAGCAAGCTCCAATTGTACAAGTAAAAACACGACATTTAGTGAAAACGACCAAGAGATGTTGTATAAGTCCGTTCATGTAAGTATATAAGATAGTGGGAATTTTTGTATCTGATGACATCTTGGATTTTGCAGGACAAAGCTACGAAGGGCAGAGGGGGTTTAGGAATTGCGGATCGGGCAAAGAAAATTGGCGGTGCTCACTGGAAGGGCCAGAAAATTTCATTTGGAGATACCGGAGAAGAAGAAGAGCTCCAAGAGGCTTCCAAAGACACGAAAAGAAAGCGTGAAAGTGGCAGCGGGAGTGATAGTGAGACGAGATCAAGCTGGAAAAAGATATGCCAGGAGTTTTTGATGGAGGTATGCTACTCCAGATTTCCAGATTCATTCTTTACTCTTTACTCCTTGATCAGGCTCCACAACAGAAGGTCAGCTTGAAGAAACTCCACAAGCATGTCTCGTCTGCTGTTGGTGCCGATTCTTTCAATGATATCGATAGACTCCGGCGAAAGGTTTGTGATTTTCGTTCTTCCTCTTTTGCATCTAGATGCTCAGCTCGAGAAATTTTTGTAGTTATCAAAGAGCTCCAGGTTCACGATTGAAGGCAACAGGGTCTACCTCACTCCCGAAATCGTTGCGTGAGCTTTTTTTTGTAAAAGTAGCCACGAAAATTTTGTCGCGAAGAAAATTTTGTGAGCTTGTGCGCTGGTTGCGATTTTGCTCCAGTTTTTAAGCATATTTTCGTTCTGAAGAGTTTTTCCTCGTAGCATTTAAAAACTCTACAAGATAAATCGCTGGCTCGAATGTTTTTGCAATTACAATTCGGCAATAGGGCATGGAGGTGCAGGCGAAAGACGCAGTGAGGAGGGTATTTGTGCGTGCGCAGGACACCTCTTTTCGTCCTCCAAACGACTCAGATCTACAAGTTGGCCAGCTACAGGTCTCTTGAACGTTAATTTGCCTTTCCCTCAAACCACTTGTCGCCTGACTGATCAGGCTGATAAATGTGGGAACAAATTCTGCCTTGTCACAGACACCAGGTTTGTTTGACTCTCTCTCTCTCTCTGTGTCTCTCTCTCAAACAAAGAGAATTCTGTGTAAGCAGGAAGATTCGTATGATACGGGTCATCTGGAGGTTCTAGCCCAGATCCATCTGGTCTTCACAGAATACGAGTTTTTAAATAATGTTTAATAAGTTTTATAATAACTAAATATAATACACATATAGCTCAACCCTAAATAAGTTATAAAATTGTAAAATTATATAATATATAAGATTAAAATCAATTTAACCACTATCACCCACTACACTACTAATAACATATAACATTGTAGCTATATATTTAGATTTTATATCATCTCCTCTCTCAGAAGGATTAAAGATAAAGTTCTATTGTTGATAAACTAAGATCTAGAAGAGGCATTTGTAGGTCCATTACAATTTGTTTGTAATCCCTTTATATAAAGTGTTTCAATTGTTACATATGCACAGTTTTTAGAGGATTGATTTATTGAATGCTATTTAAACCTTATAAACTTGTAGTTTAACTTGTTACAATACTAGATATGGTGCCTTCCATTAAAACAAGAACCCATTAGATAAACCATATATTCACTTTATTCATTATTTGTTTTGTACTCTACAGATGGATGATGATGAGAGTTGTAATTTTGTTGTTGTCCCACTTGTATGCTGCCCAAATGTTCAATAAAATTTATTCGAATTAGTAGAAGAATGTTCATCAAATATTAATTTCAAGACCAAATACAATTTGTTAATCTTAATATATGGTGTGATTTCCTTTGGTAACCAAGAGACTTAACATCAACAGCTTGTAGCAATTTTGAAGGTACAAGTTGTCAATCTTAATGACATCTTGTAACAATTGTGAAGGTACAATTTTGCAATTTTAACATGTGGTGTAATTCCTCTAATTAATTAACAAAGTTAAATTTGAGACTTCTTTGATACCAAATATAAACTCCTAATCTCTAAAAGTGTTACGAATGTGATTTCGGGTATCGAAAAATACTTATTGGCTAGTTCTTACGGACATTCTCTCCTTACTGCTATGACGGCAGGAAGTCAGTACTATTAGTTCCCTTTATTAACCTTTGTTGTCCAACTATTAGTAAACTAGACTTAACATTTACACTTGGCCGGATGAGTATAAAGAAAGAATTCCTAAGTGTTTATTTAGCCAAGTATCCTTAGTCTAGCTTGTTAGTTTTCTTTTGCTTTATCTTGCACTAGTTTGGCAAAAACCCTCGCATATTGAGTTTAGTCCTTTAATATTGCTATATGATAGTTTACCATGTCTGCCAAACACCTTCACTATTATGCTCTATGTGTTGGTTCTATCCCGGATTTATATATTATTTATTGTAAGTGTTTAGATCTGCCCAATAGGCATATTTATGCAATATAGAAAGTGTCTTGAACCCCATAGTGTTGTTCCTGCTTCTAGATTTGCAATATAATACCATTCCATATTTAGTATGTTTCACATTTGTCCCAAAGACTAACTATATGCTAAGGAAAGTAAATGCATTTTTGGACAATTGCACGTGAATTTTCTTGGACATATAGTTGGTGGTGGTGTAATTGAGGTGGATCCAAAGAAGGTGGAAGCGATAAAGTTCTAGGAAGTCCTAATCACTATATCAAATGTTCGTTCTTTTCTCAGTTTGGCTGGATACTATTGCAAGTTTGTCCCCAATTTTGCAAGAATTACTCTTCCATTGACTAAGTTAAGGAAGAGTAATATACTATTTCATTGGACACCAGTTTGTTAGTATGCTTTTATGTAGCATATACAGTTTTTACCTTTTATCCTATGGTGTCATAAGAAGATAGTTGAGAGGATCAGCAAAAGCATACATCTTGTAAAATGGAACTCTGGGAATGGAGTCCTTGGAAGTTCTTTCCAGCTGCATATCCTTATCCTCTAAGTAGCTATCATCCCTCTTGCCCTTCCATGCAAAATCTAGGTCCTCTGGCTCGATTTGATCAATATCCTTGAAATTCCAGCCCTTGATATCGATGCACAACTTGCTGGAGCTGTATTCCAGCAAGAAGAATTTATTTGAGTTGAAGTAATCCTTGTTCCCAGCTAGCTCCTCGATGAAGAGGAGCTCCGAGTTGTCCTATGGATTTACCATAGGATAACCACAAAATGGAATGTAAACCCTCTATGTGCCACGTGTCACATGCCATATGTCCAAAATCTACTAGTGTAGAACTTGCATTTCAGGGCCTTGGGCCATTGAAAGAAGGAATAGAGCTAAACTCCTAAGCATGGAGCTAAAGAGTGAAGGAACCGGAGCATGGAGAAACTCCCAAGCATATAGCCTAAGGAGCGAAGGGATAAGAGGATGGAGCAACTTCGAATAGTCCTAGAGCATCCAGCATCCTAATGCTAAGACTAACACAGCAAAATGGAGCAAAATGGAATTTGACACTATTTCAGCATACCGGTGGCATAACACAAGGATATATGTACTCCACCAGCTAGCATGGAATGGAATTTGGGCTTAGACCCAAGTCGAATGCAAAACAAAGATACACACGCAAGGAGTTAAACTATGCCTTAGGTTGGTCAACCATGCCTGACCTACCCTAAGGAACACACGCTTTGGGCTTTCACCCTTAGCCACCTTTAATGCCAAGAGTTAGTCTTTAGAACAAGCTCAAAACTTACTAAATATAAAATGTCTTTAAATTGCAAATTTGGACATGGGATGAACACTATTGTGTTTAGAACAATCTTTACATTATGTAGATATACCAAATGAGCAAATTTAGACACTTTCTATAATTATCATTTGGGACCGCAAAGGGCATAATAGTAAAGGTGTTTGGCAAACATGCTAAGTTATCATCCAGCAATATTGAGGGACTAGTCTCAATATGTGAGGGTTCTTGTCAAGCTAGTGCAAGATATAGCAAAAGATAATTAATAAGCCGGGCCAAGTATATTTGGCTAAATAAACACTTAGGAATTCCTTCCTTATGCTCATCCGGCCCAAAGTTTAGTTTATTAACACTTGAACAAAAAGGACTGATAAAGGGTCTAGCAATGCCAACCTTCTGTTGTTGTGGCAGTAAAGAAAGAATATTTGAAAGAACTAGTCGACAGATAACTTATATGTAAAGTCACATTCCTGACATTTTTTATGGTTGAAAGAGATCTTGATTATGGTTCCTATTCTTAGGATCCTAGATCTTGATAAACCCTTTAAAGTGCATTGTGATGCATCTGGCTATGTTATTAATGCTATGTTGTAGCAAGATTGTGATAAAGTGGTTAGTGTTACACTAAGGCGACACAATTGTCCTGTTGTGTTCTTTTCTAAGAAATTGGATGAAACTCAACAAAAATGGCCAACATATGACAAAGATGTTTACTATAATGTCAGCATTGGAACACTAAAGACACTATTTAGGTAGGCATACCAAGGTTTATATGTATAACAATACACTAAGTTACTTTTATATGCAGCCAAAGCTTATGCCGAAGCAGGCTTGTTGGCAAGAGAAGCTCGTTAAATTCAATATTGAAATTATCTATAAACCTGGTAAAGACAATATTGTTTCGGATGCATTGAGTCGTCAAGCTCAATTTTGGGCAATATCAACAATCAATTCGGACTAGTTGGAGGATGTTCGGGCTTCATATGGAAGTGATCCATTGGCGAAGGCAATTTTGCTTCGTGTGGAGTTGTCAAAGCAGAACCCTATTAGAAAAGCAGGGAAAGTTGCTAGTCATACCAATGCGAAACTTCACTTCTTAGTCAAGATGGGCTTATTTTCTATAAGCAAGAAAAGTTGTATATTCCTTCTAAGGATCTGCAATAGTTGTTTTTGTAGGAACATCATGATGTTCTAGTAATGGGACATGGTGGAAAATAAAAGACTCTTGCTTCATTGAAAAAGGGATTTTCTAGTCTGTTATAAAAAGTGATATAGTAGATTATGTCCATTCTTACCCTATATGCCAGCAATGTAAGCGCAGAACTGAGAAGCAGGCTGGGAAGTTGTGGTGCATTCCAACACTGGCATGGCCATTTCAGAGTGTGACACTTGATTTTGTCACTTGCAAGCCGAAGTCTAAGGGTTATGATACTTTGATGGTGGTTGTGGATCAGTTGTTGAAGATTGCACACTTTATTTCAACTATGGAAACAGTGAATGCAAAGCAAGCAACAAAGCTATTTCTCCATGAAGTAGTGCGAGTTCGTGGTCTTCCCAAAAATATGATCTTGGATAGAGATTCGAGATTTACAAGGAAGTTTTGGGGCACATTGTTTCAATTATTTAGTACCAAGTTGAAGTTTATTATGGCTTACAATCCTTAAATCGATAGGCAAACCGAACGTATGAATGCTCAAGTTAAGGGTTATCTGTGGTACTATATTGCGGCGGATTAACGCAACAAGATTGAGCATTTGGACACAATAGAAATTTGTTATAATAACAGGTTTCATAGCACTATTAGCCGTTCTCTATAGGAGATGTTGCAAGGGAATGCTCATAAGGTTCCTCAACAGATTGTTGTACCAAAACCAATATCCAAAGTGTTAATCCCAATTGCTAAGACTTATAAGAGTAGCTATACCAAGGTTGGTCTAGAGCTATTGAGGCAATGGGCAAAGCTCAGGATAGGTATCGACATGATAAAGATTAGCATTATCAAAATGTATCCTATCAAGTGGGAGATTAGGTGTGGCTATCTTCTAACAACTTGAATATTAAG